TAAACATGAAATTTACAAGGATATCAATGAATAAACTCATATAAGCTCATGATAACTTTTAAAGCCCGAAGACCAGATGGGCCAGAGCCGAAACAGAAACAAGACAAAACATAAACAATGTGTATTTAAAAGATATTTTGAAGTTTTTTGGAGTTTGAATAAATGGTAAACTATCAATGGAGTATAAAGTAGGATATACATACATGTATTTCTATTGTTTTATGTAAGGAATTCATCCATGTTATTTCTAGGCAGTTAAGTGAGTATTTGCCTAGTAATCACCGGTTCCTAAGAAAAAGCCATAGGCTTTTTGGTCATTCGAAACTAGACCCATAGCATCTCTTGATTATTGGGCTTTTAATAAATGATTCTGGATGAATCAGCTGTTCTTTGTAACTAAGCTGTAATCTCATTTAACAACACGTCCTTAAAATTACCTAAAACGCATTCTGGTGGCGACGCACGAAACTAATCTAATCTTTAATTCTTTACTACGTATCCAACCGGCGCCGAAGATTTGACCTCTATCACCACTTGCACAACCTAGTACCATCTCGTTTATATTTCCCGGATATAATGTTTCCATTACCTTCCTCGCTGACCTTTCCCGTATCTAGGAGGCGTTGCATCGTGCAGTTAGCAAGGTCGCTGCATCGCAGTTCACTGTGGCAGATGCCACAGCCTTCTAAATAATCTTCCTCGAATGAATTCCGCATTATATTTAGTTGATTCAATGGCGTATTTAAGGATTGTGTTACCTACGCAAAATGTTAGGGCAGAGAGACTGAACACACTAACAGATTTAGATCTCTCACAGGTTATAATCATCCAAACATTGGAATCAGTTTATTTTATAAATATGCATCTTACGTCTATAATGCTAGTAGTAAATTAGCCAAACGAGGCTCTTTGGTCGTGATTCACCTTCAAAATATGTTGAAGTTAGGGGAGTCATTAGGTAATTTATTGTGTTTCTGTATTTAATATTATAATTCATTTAAGCTTAAAATAATACAGCTGAGATGGAGAAGTGTGGATAGTTAGATAAACTGTTCTATTTTAATAGTTTAAATTTAACATTGAGTTTAGGTTATTGGTATCGATTCAGACCTCACAGAACAGAACTCAGCTATATTGGATTTAAACTAAACAATGTAAAACATTCAAATTTTAAAATAACAAAATCGAAAATATAAAACTTGTTTTTTTGCCTTTTTTAATAGTTCAAAATTATTCGATATTCCAGATGGTTTGAAATCATATTTGTCGAATGTAGAAATGTATTGTATTTTTTACAGTATAGTATGAGGAGCCGTTTCAGTTTTACATTCTTTATTTTACAGATATCTGTAGCACATTGATTGTTAAAGTTGAATTAGACCAAAAATCAAATAGAATAACAGATTTTCATCAAGGGAAGTCTAGAAACGTTTCAGGTCCACCGAAATGTATCACCAGTACTAGACGTAAATACAACAATTTAACTGCTACAATAGTAGATTATTATCCGATAAACACGTTTTCCTGAAAATCTACAGGCAAACCAAGTGCTGAGTTTTTACGTCGTATTGTATAAAAAAGTAATGGCCCAAAAAAATGACCCTAGTGAACCCCCGCATTTAAATCAAGAAACAACTACCAACAAAAAAACTAAAAAAATACAAATGCGGTAACACCAATACACGTGCTCATTGCAATACACCAACTACTTCAAAATCAAACATTAAATTATTAACAATATCACACCACAGCAAGTTCCTGACAACTACCAACTACCAACATTGTAAGCAGAAGTAGGTCTCCTCATTAAAACAAACGGATCCGGAGATGGTTTAAATATGTATGCGGGTTCCACAACAGCGGCTAGTGAAAGCACAACAATGAAAACGGTTTTGAGACAATGCGAACTTGTGCGGTATCGGTTATTGTTGTGGAGTTTATGTAGGTGGGCTATCGCCTCGGTGCACACTGTGATCGTGCGTCTATAGGCTAAGTGCATTCAGTGATTGTAGAGCTCCAATCAATTGTATGATTATTAATAATTACAACCATTTTTACTATACCATTGAATATATACAGTTTTTTTTTGTAAAAGTGCATTCAACATTATTATTGGCATATTGCTATAATGAGTACATACAATCATTATAAGTTGTAATTTTACAACATGCTAAATTAAATTAGCCAAATACTGCTGGTTAACTTAGTCAAATTATTTGGTATTATAAAATAACTTGGTTTGAGATATTTACAAATTTCTATTGTCAACCCCAACAAATGATTAACTTGGAAAACAATGATTTTAGATTTTTTTAGTTTTAGCTGTCTAACTCCAAAGCGTATGTAATATGAGGCAAAGATTAGGTTACTGAAGTAGATACTGTAGGGAAATCGTAATTCTTGTAAGGGAATAATCACATTGTACATGGTAAAAAGTCTGTAATTGTTGTATTGGACGCTCAGCTTTTGAATCATAGTAGCCCAACTAGATGGATAAGTAACTGATATTAACACAGAATATAGATAGGTACCTAAAGATTATTAAGTAAATTAAAGTTCTAGCAATAAAGAACCTTAAATATCCTTAGTCCACTGAAAATAGTATTTTAACAGTTTGTGGCTAGAGAACCAAGGTCAATGCAATTTTGTGTAGGCCTATTTTTCATTTGCGGCGCAGCACGAAAGTACGATGATCTACCGGAAATCCACCACCCGCCGCCGGAAACGGCAACTCACAAAGAGGTGAAAGTGGGAACACGGAGTAGGAGTACACGGGTACACGAGAAGTGACACGACACGAAACGACACGACATGGTTGACTACTGGGGAATAAGTAAATCGGTAGCAATTATTTGTCCAAAGCACCTAATTATCTGTTTGCAATTGCAATGCGCCGGATTCTATTCCTGTGGTTTTGGACCGCACATGTAGAACTCTAACTATCCGAACTCCACCTACCAGAGTCACCGGTTATCCGAATCGTCGATTATCCGAATAACCGATTATCCGAATAACCGATTATCCGAATCGTCGATTCTCCAAAAACCCGATTATCCGAATCGTTTACAAATAGAATATTTAACACCTAAAACTACATTATTAAGAATCGTTATTAAAAGGGCAGAAGCTGTGATTACGGCAAAGTATGCTCATCTCCCGCGGTCCCGGACACATCATGTTTTTTGCGATCGTGGCAAAATATCGAACATAATTATCGTTACTAGTAGACATCATCATCGTCATGATCGCAGCGTAGCGTGAATGTATCAGTCACGAAACCTTAGCAGACACGTTCTGCGATTTGACTGATGGTAAAAACTTGGTCCAATTCGGCCTATTTCTTATCAAATATCCTAAAATTCGGTAAAATCCAACTACAGCACCTATCAGAACTGTTTACCATCCGAATGTGTTACGATTGATTCCGATAGGTGGAGTTCAACAACTGTAAACATTACAAAAGTAGTCACGTTTGAGGCCTTTGCACAAAATGGAAAATGGTCTAAATAAAAACTTGGAACAAAGTCGCAAAATGAAGTTAGACTAGAACGTATTTGTTGATTGCATTCTTTTTACGAACATAATAGCCTATGAGACAGTTATTATCATGATTTTGTCTAATTATTTTTTCTTGTTAATTATTCTTTTAGGCAAGCTCATTAAAAATCTGTAAACAAATAGCTATTACGATGGTCGATAAGGCAAAATAAAACACGTCCTTAACCAAGGTTCACATTATGTACCATTTTAGGAATATAATGGTAATCAGTTGCGATGTATCCGACTCCATGTTGGCGTCACGACAGAAAATCCTGTTTATCCAGTTAAAAACAACTGACTGTTTCACAGAATCTGTTATGTTATTGTTTCTGGTACATCTGCAATGTACTTCAAGGTAATTCACATCTTTGGCAGGTTAAGCGTTTCTGAGAAGCTTGTTGATAATACTATGAAATCGTATTCTACTAGAATTTACAGCAATTGTACAAAATGACTTACAAGAGTATTTTTTGGTGTCTTACTGCATATTTCTTATTAATTATAGGCTACTTCATGGAACATCCAAAACTATGGCATACAAACTCATGATTAGCCCATAATTATTCAAAAACACATACAGTATTGTGTACTACGTGAAACAAGAACTGTGCCAAATATAGGTCTCCACGATGGACTGCATCGTTGAAGAGTTCCGGACGTTTCGGATACGTAGCATCTACCGGTACCCATCTTCAGGGCGAACTCCTATTACTACGTACTATTCAACGCTCGCCTATATTCTCACTCTTTCAACGACGTGATCACCAAGATGATTCGACCATCCGCCGTGACCGTGGAAGCCTAACTAGTCTAGAGATTATAGAATTGTTTAATCTGGAAGGAGCCTCGTACATTTTAAAGTAGTTGTGATGTGCTGTAAAGTAAGGTGTTATGCATTTGAATAAGCTAATATTGTTCTGTTTGGGGTTCACGTTTGTTTTATAATTTTATTTACTCAATTAGCTTGCATATTATACTTGATTATGGCTACAGGTTCTCTACAGTTTAATGTACATTATTGCTAATTATAGCGATTTAAAAAAAAGTATTTAAAAAGAGTTTTACATTAAACGTGTTAACGTTGTGCAACAGGTTATGTTATTTTAAAATTGTTCACTGTTCAGCTGATTTCCACATTATTTCAATAACAATTCCATAAAAGTAATGTCGGGGAATGTCCTTGAAATCCTCCGTTTCTAACATATCTAGTTATTTTCACAGAATAGTTAAATTTTGACAATTCCTAAATCCTTCTTGAAAACTCCTGTTGACCGCTACCTTAACTCACAAGCGAAGAAACAATTATTACTCAACAAACAAAATTTTAACATTTCCAAAATCGCGGTGACCGCTGCCCGCCCGGTGACGCGCGGGCGGTGACACCGGCAACATTGTAGGCGACTCGCCTGCACCAAGCGGCAACAGTGTAGGCGGGTAGAGCGGGCGGCGACAGTATTGAGCGATAGGACGCGCCGTCCACTGTCCGTTTGTCCGTCTCCTGTGCCACTCTCTACTTCCTGGACCTACCATGTGCAAGATGGACGTTACCAAGCTGATCGCTCTGGTGCGTGACAGACCACCCATCTGGGACCAGAAGGACTACAACTACAAGAACCGAGATGTCGTCAAACTGCTATGGGATGAAGTGGCTGCTGAATTAGACCGACCGCGTAAGTTTTTAGAAATAAATAAAACAGTTTGAGGATTTGGTTGTATATATTGTATATGTTTAAACTTTTGCCTACAATTTGTTAATGAATCAAAAATCAGGAATTTTTATTTCAACAAAATGCGGGGTTACATTACTGGAAAACGTCAATTAACCACATGAATTTTCTAATTGAGTTTTTAATTATTTACAAATATTCGAAAATCGCATTTGTAATCAACAAACAACACTGTATTTATTAAAAATTTGAAGGGTTTGCTCAATTTCTTCGAAGTAAATGTCCATTGTTGCCTCAACATTGTTGGCTAATGAGTTAAAAAGTATTTAGGCAAATGGTAATAACTTAGCTACAAACCATTATTTCTTTTATGTAATAAACGAAAACGCATAACGATAAAATTGCAAAAATATGTATGAGATTATCACTTAAAAACTACAACACTGGTTTGTTTCTTAAATCCAAGATAAGCGGAGAAAAAGGCGCAATAGTTTGACTCTTCCAGTGGCGTTGCCATGGAAACGTTAAATTGTTACTTTGTTGACGGCTGTCAGCTGATTTTAACACCCGCGCTAATCGCGCCATTTGGGAACTACAGTACCTCGCATCGATGTTGCTATTTTTAACTTTGTGATATTTAAAGTAAACTTTACTTTTTCCGATACTGTCAGTTTAATTTAAATTAATTTTGTTTAGAGGTATCTATAATTGTATCAGTTTTAAAAGAAACTGATGGAGGCGGACACGTGAACAATTGAAATTATTGTGAACAAGTTTTTTAAGTAATAATTTTACACTGACTTATATTAACACTTTAATCTTATTTAAGTGTCAAAATGTGTAAACTAAGTCTCTTCTTACCTTTATGTATTGGTTAGGCATTTTGTTGGAGGAAATAAATACTGTACATAAATACACAGCAAATTTATACCCAAACCCAAACACCCAGTTTTAGAAAATAAAAATTTAGGCCTACCTATTTCTATTGAGTGTCAGATTCGTTTTGAAACCTACATTCTATGCAAAGGTCACCTAATTGTTATTGTATGAAAAACACATCGTAGAACTGATTATATCCGTTCTATTTGCTTGGTTTTGGATTTTGATTACATATGCATAGGCATGAATCGTTAAATATCACGTCCACATTTTGAAATAGGAAGGTTTAATATATGGTGGAATGTTTTTTTTTTACTGCTAGCCCATAGGTAGAAAAAACCCAAATATAAATGTGTATTTAAATATCTTCCTCCTCAAACTATAAATTATAAAAGATGGCTACTCAAATATAATATAGTTTAGTTTTATACATCACGTATAGTGTACAATAAATATATGGTATGTTCTACCCTCCGAATTGTGCTATTGTAGACTCTACTGTATGTATTCGTGTCAATGTCTGTGGTATTCAATAACTGATGTGGTTGTGGTGGGAGTAGGGGGAGGGGGCAAACCTCAAACTATGACTGTCATAATCAGATCATTTTGTCATCTATCATCTATCATGCCTCAAAACAATCATACCTGTTATGAAATGGCTCATTTATACTAGAAATACAATTTGTACAGTTTGTACTTTACTTTGATTTCTATATTCCGAGGTGAGGGCACCATAGCTGATTGCAGAACTAAGGGTGCTTTTTCACCCTAAACGAACCTGAGTCCATGGTACTTCTTATCAGGGCCGGCTAGAGGGTGGGGCCCGGTACTCTGAAGGGCCCCGGCCCGGTCAGATGTAAATTTGTTCTTTATGTAATCTGCTTGAATTAAAAATTTTTGCATGGTTTTCCACTTCACCAAGTAATTTTTGACTTAAATTGTTTTGACTGTGAATAAAGCTGTAACTGTGAGCAAACATTTCAGATATAGTTATTTGTGTAACAAAACAGCACAGAGACAACTGGACACTAAATCAAGAAAATCCCGGATCGCTGAGACCTTGGGCCGTCGCCCTGCTTCTTATGCTGTTATCCAAATTAATTTTTAAGGAGGAATATGTAGAAGAAGAGCTTTTGAAAATAATATTTGCATATTATGTTTTATGATGTCAAAGGAAAAAAACAGTTTTTTCATTATTCCAACTTCCTAGGTAGGTATAATGATTACATGCTAGGTATATTGCTAGGTATATATTTATGCTTAGAGCCAATTTAATCTCCCAGTTTTCCACAGTAAACGTACACAATATACTTTACACAATTTTTTTTATTCTTTTTTCTGAATTCTTCAGTTATTCAGTAAAGAACTTATTTATCTTATTACATTTATTTGTTTCTTTCAGTGGACAAGGTGCGGAAAAGATGGAAAAATCTACGAGACATGTTTAGAAATGAAGTCAAAAAGATCTTATTGGAAGCTGGCGATTCTCTTCCTGAAGAATTTGTTTCTCCGTGGTCACACTTTGAGGATATGGTAAGATCAGCTGATCAGTATTGTTGGGTATTTGCAGTCACAGTGCTTTTAACCGGTGTAGGAGTTCTGCCAAATTAATTTTATTCCATTGTAACTTTATTCTATTGTAGACTATTGATACAACTAGACATATTCCACCTCCATCAGGGTCCCCTTCATAAAGTGGTTTGAGGATTGATTGGGGGCGCAAGGAAGATAAAATTTCCCTGGCAAAGAAAGGGCAAAGGGGGCGCAAAGCGCTTTAGATGCAAACCGCGTACCTGATCCCCAAGTTAAAGTTGTCGCCAGTTTTTGGATTAAAATGACCATAGTTGATATAAGCCACCGGCAGATTTTGCTGACCAAAATTACTAATTTCTGGTCAAATAAACATACATTTTTTACCACATCAAACTATTGGAACAACTTATTCTGAACAATAGCAACTGTGATTACCCACCAACTTGATCAGCAACAAAATTGAGAAAGAAAATAAAACGTTTGTCAATAGCGCATTCTGTGACTGGCTTGTAGACTACGGTTATTTATTTTTTTATTTGGCAACAGCACCCCTTATATGGATGGGACATCTACTTCAGTATCCAATAGTCAATGGTTATGTTATGGCTCAGAGTAATAAAACAAAAGTCTTTTTGTTTTATTACTCTCTCTGAGGTTATGGTATTAGACTCTTAATTGATTTACAGTTTGATTACAGTGTTAGCTAGGTTTACAAGTTAAGTTGTCTCTGTAATATAGTATCTCATCTTGAGATTTGGTTTATTTTTACTTTTAAAGGTTGTTAATTAAAATTTCAGATCCAAAATTTAGAAAACCCCAGCACACACTGGTAACAGCATTGTCACAATATGTATGATTTCCTATTAAACTCAAATTTCTTTAAGTTTGGTTTAGCAAAACAGTCTGTAGTTAAACCATTTGATCATTCATTCCATAAAGTGCATTTAGATAAAGAAAGAAGTACATTTTTGTTACGAGGAAATAAATCATTTTGTTTCCAGGTATTCCTAAAAGACCAGATCGTTACTCGGAAAACTTTACGAAACCTGAATATAACAGGAGTGGAGCTCGACTCGGATGACAACGAGGAAACATTGGAAATTCCCGTGTCTCCTGTGAACTTTGATGATGAGGATGAGGAAAACCAAGGGGATGATAGAGGTGAGACTCTTTCGGACTTACAGGACTAATGAATGTAGCCAGGGCAAAAAAAAAATGTCCTAGGACAAAAAAATTGTATTTAGCTAAGGGAGCAAGCTGGTCTAGTGGTTGGAGCGTGGGACTTTCGTCCCTGAGGTCTCGTGTTGAAATCCCGCTGAATAACCAATAGATTTAATCTTAGTGATATTGCCACAACCCCTAGGTCTAGCCTGAAGTAATGTGAAAAACAATCACAGGTTCACGTCATAGCGAAAAAATGTATTTAGCCACAGAGAAGTAAGGCACAGAGGAAATAATCAATAATACACTTAAGTGGTGCCTAGTACTAGTGCTCGTATCTAGGGCCAAGTCCAACACCGCCTCCTCGCCATCATGTATTACAACACTCACGGTGGAAGAAGACCATGTGGACTGTGCGATAGGAATTTCCGCACAATGCTTGTCACTCAGGCTCTTCCTTGCACTTCACAAATGTACATAGAGTGATATATCAATTCAATTATATCAATTATTAAGGATGGGGACGCCACTAGTTGCGTATTTCAACCCAAATATGAGTGAAGGATGAGTGGCCCGATCTTGTAGTCTTGTTGTGACTAAGGCCCACATGTTCCTTTGACGCAGCTATTAATTAATAGCACATAGCCAATGGCAACTAAGGGACCTACAGTTTATAGTGGAGTCCGACACATTTTTGCCTTGTAATTAACAAATTGGTCTAATAATCAGAATAGCACTGCGGGTAGTCGTAGTACTCACTAGTGCAGACGTTAATCCACACTAGAGAGTATCGCATCCACAGTGCGTGAATATAAATATCCACAATTCGTGACCTCCTAGTAGCTGGATTACAGGACGACGTCACCGTCCCAGTCTACCTCAATCATACCTTCCTCAATCGGGTTACATTTAACAAAATGTTTGCCAACTTAAAATTTGTTTTCATCAACTGTTCTTCTCTTCTTTGCAAACTGTCTGTGGTTAAAGAGGTTAAATTATAATTTACATTCCCATTATAAAAAGTTTATCAGCATCACTTGGTCTTTGATAATGTCCTGAACCTTAAAAATAAATTAAACAATTACTTTGTTAGTTACCATTTGTCTCTCCGCTAGATCATAAGCTTTAAAATATCACCTCAATCGTAATAATCGGTTACCTAGGACAGCTGGAAAAGGGATTTTACAGAGACAACCCTTTTTGTATACATGTAGACTCTTTTGATTTTGGTAACAGCGTTTTATTGGTGGGTCAATTCAACTACACCCATTTCAATTCTAAAACTAGCTGAAGCTTTATTTTGGTTATCAAAGACTATATGCTCATAAACAGCTGTACAATTTTTAATATTCCTCTGTGTTATCTTTGACTTAAAACCTGTAACAGGTGTGGATACAGCTGTACGAGGTGACCTGCCTCAAAACATCTCAGATATGATCCCCACGGATTACCAGAGATTAGACCACTTTCTGAAACCTCAGTCACATCCGACTCCAACACCGAGGAAACGCAAGAGGGAGTCAGGAACAGCGACAGAGTTCTATAACAGCTACTACCACCAACCAACTGTGCAGGTGATGGAAAATATGTTTACCTAGAGCTCCTTTAAAAAGAAAAAAACTGTAGCCTACTATAAAAAGACAAAACATGTATACTGTTAAGAGTGAAATTTAGATTCTCTTCAGTGTTCACCTATTTATATTTCTTCAAATTCTTCTGGAGAGGCTAGCAGCAGATTTACTGTGTTCCACAGAACGCAAGATCATTCATAATATAATGTGTCACATTTGGGTTATTTTAACTTCTGAGTCACATCTTATAGTTATCGTCCAGCTCATAATTTAAATGTTTTCTGTTTATTCAACCGTCTGCATGAAACACAATGTCAGGTGGGTAGATTACTGACTTTAAATAAATACTTAGCTCCCAATACACTAATCAGGTGCATAGGAGGTTACTATTAGAAGTACCAGAGAAAATCACTTAGCATGAGATTATATAAACACGTTGAGTGTGGCCGTTCCCGACCAGGTATGGCGCTCGGCCCCCATACGGTGCGTTCGTACCCGATCGGGAACGCTCAGCAATGCCTGTTGTCTATCTCCTTTTTGCTCTAGCGTCAGTCGATAGCGGACCTATAGCATGTTAGCGTGTAGTGTGTGACTTGCATTTTGTTGTAGTGTAGGTTGGTAGTAAATTTTCCCTTAAAATCCCCATCTGGCAAACTTAAAAATGAAACATTTTGTCCTGTCTTTTTCCCTCCATTGGACAATACAATTCCAATGGGACCGGCTACGTTCCAAACAGTGCTGCTATCAATGGGTGTTTAGCAAACTACGTCGACTCTCGTCGTAAAGCAGGACATCCCCGCACGTTATTTTCTATTCAATAGACCAAAATTGGAAAGCCAATCACACGCGGCAATCGGGTTTGTTTGACACTGTGGGCTGCGCGGCAATCGGGTTCGAAGCTGCGGGCTGCGCCGCATTGGGGATACGCCTGCCATTTGACGTGCTGCAGGGAACGTGTTAAACATAAACATTTCATTTATCAACCTATGTCTCTACAAGAGGGATGGGGCAGTTTCTTACTGATTGGTGCCACTTACTATGGTACTATGGTTGCCTCTATTGCCAAGGGGTTGTTTTAAGAACTGGGCTAGAGATACAACTATTGGTAGCAATGAATAAGAGAAGTGCGAGACATTCGCTGCCATTTTTTATTAAGGGATAAAGTTACATACATAGTACATAAACTAGGGTACCGGTTATTACTAATAATTGGAAATTGCGGGATTGTAAATACATACAGCCATGAGTAAACCACCTGACTCCCCTAATTGGTACCAACATAACAAAATTGTAAAGCATCTAGATTTTCTAGCAGAGTTGCCGTGCCAGTGCTACCTCCAGTTGTATTTCGATCCAGCTCACATCTGAAAAAATAAAGATCCATGATATCTGTATACCGTATGCGTTATTGTTGCTCCATAGACTTAAAGTAGCTTCTACTGTTGCAGGTGGATGACGACTACCACTACTTAATCAGTTTCTTGCCCTCTATGAAGGCCATGCCTCTCCAGACGAAGATGTGGTTCAGACTAAAGATGCAAGAGCTGCTGTACACTTGCACTGTGGCTGCCCCTCCCCTCTTCACATTCGGAACTAGTGAAGTGGAAGAGAAACCTAAGCCTAATGATGACTGAATCAAGTCTTTGTCTGGATAGGCATTGAATCCAAAGCAGGATGTTTACCAAGATGCCGATTGAGGGCTAATTAATGGTGCTATCCAACAAACCGTTTATGTTCGATAGCACAGGGTTTGGACTGTTCCCTTGCAAAAAAATGGTTAAAACGCCACAGGCGTGAAAAGACACAAGGAAAGATGAGTTGTAAGAAATCTGTGATTTACTCAGTTTTTTCATAGAAAAGTAAGGTACAGAGGAAATATCCTTGGCACATGTAAGGGGTGCACTAGTCGCTGGTGTCTAAAGCAAAGTTCAACACCCCCATCATGTACTACAAAGCTCATGATGGATAAAAACCTGTGCCCTGTGCCATAGGAATTTCTGCATGGGCTCTTGATTGCTCATCACAAGGATATTTCTGGCACAAACTAACACTAGAGATGAAAGCGCATGGTCGTCCTATAAGCAAGTTTTCGTACTTCTGTACCCTACTTCTCTGTGGTTGTTGTGTATCATAGAACAGAGAGTATAGAATGTTAATTTTATTGTTGTTTGTCATTCCTACTCGTCCATTCATATCCCCTACACAAAAATTACTCTGAGTGCAAATGAGTCTATGGTTGCATTAATAGTACTTATTTTTGTTTAAAAGTCTTGTAAATTTATTTAAATGTTTGTATAGTGCAGAATTTTTAAATGAATGACATATTATTTGCTGTTAAAATGGGTATAAAATATCCATGTACATATTCTATTATTGTTGTAACATTTTTCACCATTCTAGCCACTAGGTCATGTCACATTTTTTGTACTATGAAAATTCTGTTGTTATTTCTTAATCTTGTTTCTATTTTAATTGAATACAGGTCTAAAGTATTCTCAGAATTTATTGTTTTTTTTTTACATATTGCATATTAGTGATGTTTTATTCAGTGGTGCTTTTCCAAGAGAAATATTATTGTTATGATAGCGCTTTCTCCCAATGGGAAGTTTATGAAAGACTGACTCCGTTGTACTCATTTATTTGTACATAGCTTAAGAGAATAACAATTTTAAACCAAAATGTTCCTGATGTCGAATAGATGATAAGTAAAATATATAAGTCGTTTATTAACAATGTTGTTCAATTTATTTTCTGAATTATTTTGTCATCAATAGTGGGGCAAAACAGATTAAGAAGTTATATTTGCTCAGTACGTACTTACGTGTAGATATTGGGCAGACAGTTTTGGTTGTTTTTTGATCGACCACTCATACCATTTCAGTAGTCATCATGGTTAAGAATAAAAACAAGAAATTTATACAGTGTGTGGTATTTACAAAACATCAAGTTTTTGGTTTGCGATGCGACACAATGAGATCTTTACCAGTGGCTTTTTACTTCACGCAATGAGAACTACACCAACGCTGTTCCTAGTATATGAACACAATACAATTCAATTCACAACACAATTGATTTTTAGGTCTAACAGTTACCAGAAAGTGGTTAGACACCCTTCAAACTGAGAAACACAAAGAACAAAGATAGATTTAAGAGAGAATTAATGTTGTAGTACATTTTGTGCTTAGGCAAGAGTTTTTGAAAATAAAGGGCTCAAAAGATGTTTTAATGGGCGAGCTTATAGCTTATTACAGATTGTGCTAGTGTCAAAAATTCAATTTTTCTACCTCATTAGCGAATTTTCCATAAGGGAACAAGCTGTTACCGTAGGTTTCATGGTTATGACCTGGACCTGGGACCGATTTACTTTTTCCTTTCGATTTCCCCAGAAGCCAAAAACACCCTCTGTTCAAATTTATATAAAATGTTTGTAACTCAAATATGTGTAGGTTAGTGTGATAACTTAACTCAAGCAAATCCGATTTTAATGAAGTTTGGTACCTACATGTAAACCTATGTCCATACAAATGAGTTCACAAACCAGCATGATTGGATGGAAACGGTGGTCTTATAAGAGGTTTTAAGGGTTTTTCTTACTTTCCACCCTAAAAAATGAAATTATTCAATTTCTTTAAATATATTGTAAATATTAAACAAACAAATAATTTAGTATGTTGAAGCGTTTTTGTATGCCTAACGGTTACAGAGAAAAATAAAAAAAGTGTAACCGTTAACTTAAAATAAAAAATTCCCATATTAACTATATGCGGATGAGTTACATCCGTTTGGAGAATAAAAAACACATAGCACTTACATTTCGTAAAAACATAAACAAGTGTACTTATATTGTTAGAAAATACCACTGCCTTCACCGTGCGATGGTGGTGTAATGGTCAGCATAGTTGCCTTCCAAGCAGTTGATCCGGGTTCGATTCCCGGCCATCGCACTAAACTTTTTGTCACACAGATATTTTTTCTTGCTTCCCTTTTAAATGAGATCTTATAATTTTAAAAAGAAATAATGCAGACAGCTTTTTTCAAATCTGAATTGAGTTTTGGCCAACATTTACACAGTAAATTAATTATTGTTTCCGATCATAAATATTTGACTGACGCTGACCGGCACGTTAAATTTTCTATCCTCTGCAAGATTGAAGAAAAACATTTTAATTTACGACAATAAAAAGTGATTGATACAAGAATTTAAGAATCTCTGGCATTTCAAGGTATCGGCAATATTTATCAGAGGCCCACCCGATTCCCAATGTGTAAAATTTATATTATTTCCCAAAATATTAATCGGTCTACATTATTAACTTTACTATGCTACAATTTGTAAAGTATTATACAGTATATCGATGACTACGATACCTAGAAATGCATTAAGTTTTAGTTCCAGACTATAAACTATGAACTTCGACTATAAAATAGACTATAAACTTCTTGAAAACTTGCATGTGTTACTATTTTTAAAACATCGTCTTGAAAAAATGCCCTTAATCAGCTCTAGAGAGCACTAAACCGTCATAACCAAAATATTATCTTCAGAGGAACAATACTAGTCATGATTAATCCTGAGTTATCTTTTATTTTCAAAAAGTTAGCTTAGCCTATAAAAAGGAGCTAATAATTTACCGAATAATTGGAAGAATGCTGGGCTAAACATATTTTTGCAGCGCTGGTGTTGTATAGAAACAAAATCTGCTTTACTGGTTCTTAGAGAGGTAATGAATTACGGAATTTTGGAATGTAGTGTGAACCCTTTTCTACATTCCACAATTAATTAATTATGCCATCAGACGACGTCGACAGCAGCGATTCTGGTTGTAAAATGTATAACTACTTACTAAGACCCGTGATTTGTGCTGCTCCTAGCGGCAAACTGTAGAACTTTGATCTACGTTATCGGCACCGATGGGATTGTAATTTACTATTTTCTCCAAAATTGTTATTGTAGGCTTTGTTGTACCTATCTCATTGATCATATATGTATGAATGAAATGTATTTTTGAGATGATGAAGTTGAAGATTAATAATAAGTTGTACACAGAATAATAAAGGAGGAGTGTTGCATTGGTCTGATAGCTTAATATTTTACATCTTCCATCCATACCATTATACGAATATCTTCATTTACTATCAAAAACACATTTTTTCTGATTAAAAGAATATTATTTTATTTGATATGTATTTATTATATTTGCTATCAGTTTTTTCCTACCTTCCTTCTTTTTAACGTGGATCCTTATTGAAGGATGGATGCATCATAATATTTTTACACGTTTTGAATATTAGTTTATTAACTTTGAAACAAAGTATGTAATTACAATTTTAAACAGGATAATAAACTTGCAGGTGTAAGTGCAAGCATTATGTAAGCAATAAATAATAAAAATTATGTGATGTATAAATAATAAATAGATAATAAGTATTGAGTATAATGTCACTGGTAACCTAATACTGGTCAATATCAGACAAAAAGTGAACCGCCCAACGTGGGGCTCGAACCCACGACCCTGAGATTAAGAGTCTCATGCTCTACCGACTGAGCTAGCCGGGCCTTGACGGAATCGCGCTTAATCGCGTTACAAGACCAGACTGTATAAATTATTAGTGTTAAAAATTGAACTAATTCCCACATTAGCCTGCCAACAACTCTTAAGTGGCGGAAGTAACTATGATATTTTATAGGTAAAATCACAAAAGTTGCAATAACCTTCAAACTGTACCGTAATACTTACAGCTATGGGGGTTGCACAATTTTTGTAGAGTTAAAAGGATTATCATGCAAAACCAACTTTTAAAATTAAATAAATAAATCCCTTACAGTGTTTTCGGCAATCTTCATAAAGCATTAAAATTGAATTAGATGAGATAATTTTGCTGTTTTCAATAAATTTTCATTATCAACTTTCCTCAACCTACTGGAAATATTATTGTTTCGTGTGGACAGAATTCAAGTACTTCGCATTTTGCTTCCATTTTGCTACGGTAGTTTGCAGTGTGCACCATGTGATTTTAAAGATAAGTTGTTTTGAGGAAGGTCATTGTTGGGAAATTATTCCGGGAAAACTTTAATTGGCTTAAAACAGTTTGCACTGTAATTAAACTGCTTACAAACATTAATTATAAATTTAATATACATATAATACAATTTTATGCAAACATAAGTTTGAAGTTCAATCACGCATTAACTACTGTCGGTTGAGCTGATATTTGGTTTGATGATACCTTTTACGTTCTCGATTAACGACACACTCATATCTCAAAGATCCTTTCGGGCTCCGCCCCAGTGGCTGTGGAGATTCCCCTAATTATACATAAACTTTGGTTGTTGAGTCAAATGAATACAAAATTATTCTTACTTGAAATGCTTGCATTACTAAACTTATGCTGTAAATACTTGCTTGTTTAGCGAAATAAAATCCCGTTAAAATATTTATTTGTTTGCACTTTACTAATCCGAATGCAAAAATAATTTCAATAGGAAGGCCCAGTTTAGACATATACACGCGTTATGCGCATAGAACTATAAACATGCGTTGCGGGTCTAAGTAAGTAAAGTAGCTCTTTTTTAAGACCCTAGGGAGTAAAAATCAGCTGTTGTATTCGGTTGTAAACTTCGATTGTAAGCAATCAAATGTATCGAAATTTATCGATTGATTTTATCGGTTGTAACTTATTGTTGCACTATTGTCAAAAGTTCGACATATCGATAGTATAATGTACGACAATCGTAACAGGAGTGTAGGACTTTCGGCCTGGGGTGATTATGAGAAACTTACCCTCCGCAACAAACAATAGGGAACGTGGGTAGCTCTGAGTCTGCTGTCCCCAAAAGATTCCCTATAGGTAAATTTGATAAGAGTTTGTGGGTAAGAGGGAAGTAGGGAAGGAGTGATATGGGGTGTTTGACACAGCAAGCTGGCCAAAAACTATGAATAGGATTAGGTACGGTACTTCCAAGAAGGACCTGAGCCCCAGAGCACTCCAGAGCAAGAGTAGGTATTAGATTGATTTA